TTGTGGGTCACTCTTCTGGGACACTCTTGTGGGACACTCTTGTAGGAAACTCTTGTGGGTCACTCTTGTAGGACACTCTTGTGGGTCACTCTTGTAGGACACTCTTGTGGAACACTCTTACAGGACACTCTTGTGGGACACTCTTGTGGGACACTCTTATAGAACACTCTTGTGGGACACTCTTGTAGGACACTCCTGTGGACTGCTTCAAGGGGCGTCATGAGAAACAAATGCCCTTGATTCTGCTCGTCCCTTTGCGAAGGGTGTGGCACGACTGTATACAAAAGGCTATCAGCAAGACGCGCTCCCCTCATGAGGTCATTGATCTGAAGGGACCATGGTCGCCCTTCTGACATACCCCAAGAAAAAGGAGCTCCAACACTCTGGCGGGCATTGCGAAAGAACCACCCAAAGAGGTGGCCAGCCTGGCCAGCACCTCCCCCAAAACCCTGAGTTCCCAATTGAGCCTTGAGCAGGTCGAAGTGCCTGTCAACCCAAACCCAATAAAGTTCAGCCATGTGCAACCTTATTGGAGGAACCCAAGGCAATCTATGGGTCGCCGTGGATTGCAAATGCTGCAAAGAATACGAAGAACGACCATCATCAAAACTAGCCTTAATGCTCTGCTGCAAACCAGCAAAGACATCATCATCTTCATCTCCTGGTAGAAGCTGACTTCCTCTGATACGCAACGAGGTTGCAGTGTTTACCTCGTTAATCTCCTCATGGTCACTGATTTCTCCGGCGCAGTGATTGTTGGAAAGACCCTTTTCGACACGATGAGGTCGAATAACAGATCCATCAACAAGATCCACAGGATCATTCCAATGCCAAACAGCCATACCCTTGTCCAGCCCTCCAGCCAAGTCCTGCAGCACACTCTTGGTGTACCCTCATCAAGTAGCTTCGAGCAGTATCACAGTCTTCTTTCTTCAGCTTGCACTGGGCTTTGGCATAGGCCACCAGGTTGGTCAAGAATACTCCCATGGGCAGCTCACAAGGCAAAAGAACCAAAAGAACTATACACACGTCATCTTGCGGCTTGGCGATGTACCAGCCCTGAGCATTGACCGCGTTTGGCGACTTGATGGCCCAATGTCACTCGCTTGATGTACCTCAATGCGCAAACCATGCGGTACATCTCAATCTCTTCAACGCTAGTGGTATCCAGCGATCCGTCAGCATTTACGAGGTGTGACTCTTCATACCTTGCTTGTATTTTGATCAATCTTGGCTCGAGCACATCTGACGAAGTCAGTCTTACCACCGCTTTTTCAGAGGGGTGGCGCACCACATACCCCTCGCTTGGCAACCCCAGCATGCCAAGAACCTGGGGCATAGTGCTCCGTGAATGGGAGTTGGATGCATCCGCCTCACCGATGAACCATGACCTAGACCCTGCATCATTCACTCCCTCAACTCCAGAAGCAGCAAAGACCTCCCATAAAGGGGCATGCGCTCTCTCGCGTGAGAAGCTCGGTGAACCTGGCACGATCGGACACTCTTGTGGGACACTCTTGCGGGACACTCTTGTAGGACACTCTTTTGGGACACTCTTGTAGGAAGCTCTTGCGGGTCACTCTTGTAGGACACTCTTGTGGGTCACTCTTCTGGGACACTCTTGTAGGACACTCTTGTGGGTCACTCTTACACGACACTCTTGTAGGACACTCCTTGTGGGACACTCTTATGGGGCACTCTTGTGGGTCACTCTTACAGGACACTCTTGTAGGACACTCCTGTGGGACACTCTTGTGGGACACTCTTGTAGGACACTCTTGTGGGACACTCTTGTGTGACACTCTTGTAGGAAACTCTTGTGGGACACTCTTGTAGGACACTCTTGTGGGACACTCTTATAGGAAACTCTTGTGGGACACACTTGTGGGACACTCTTGTAGGACACTCTTGTAGGAAACTCTTGTGGGTCACTCTTGTGGGAAACTCTTGTGGAACACTCTTACAGGACACTCTTGTGAGTCACTCTTATGGGACACTCTTGTGGGACACTCTTGTGAGACACTCTTGTAGGACACTCTTGTGGGACACTCTTGTTGGACACTCTTGTAGGAAACTCTTGTGGGATACTCTTGTGGGACACTCTTAAGGGACACTCTTGTGAGACACTCCTGTGGGACACTCTTGTGAGACACTCTTGTGGGACACTGGTGCGGGACACTCCTGTGGGACACTCTTGTGGGACACTCTTGTAGGACACTCTTGTTGGACACTCTTGTAGGACACTGTTGTGGGACACTCTTGTGGGACACTCTTGTGGGAGACTCTTGTAGGAAACTCTTGTGGGATACTCTTGTAGGACACTCTTGTGGGACACTCTTGTAGGGCACTCTTGTGGGACACTCTTGTGGGGCACTCTTGTGGGGCACTCTTGTGGGACACTCTTGTGGGACACTCTTGTGGGACACTCTTGTAGGAAACTCTTGTGGGACACTCTTGTAGGACTCTCTTGTGGGACACTGTTATAGGACACTCTTGTGTGACACTCTTAAGGGGCACTCTTGCGAGACACTCTTGTGGGACACGGTCGCGTCGCCACACGGTCTGCCCACACACTATAGAAGCAGTCACGCGAGCGTTTCGCACGAGACTTCCTGCAAAAGTCACGCTTCGAGGCTGCAAGACGAGCGTTTCGTAGGAGACTTCCTCCAAAAGTCAAGTCTCCAAAACGAGCGTTTCGTACGAGACTTCCTCAGTCACACGTCAAGTCTCCAAAACGAGCGTTTCGTACGAGACTTCCTCAGTCACACGTCAAGTCTCCAAAACGAGCGTTTCGTGCGAGACTTCCTCAAAAAGTCACACGTCAAGTCTCCAAAACGAGCGTTTCGTACGAGACTTCCTCAAACACTCACATGTCAAAGTCTGCAAAACGAGGGTTTCGTACGAGACTTCCTCCAAAAGTCAAGCGGAAACACCCGTCGGAGCACACACATCACGCAGCCCTGCCAAGCAGTTTCGCGATTCCAGCCCCTCCAAACAACACCCGCTCACACGCCAATCCCAATGTGACAGCGACATTCACCTCTACCACAACTCACAACCTCACGATTCCCTGCGCCTGCCACGAATCTTTCCGCGTCCACCCGTCTAACTACTGCGCCTGCCACGAAATGTCACCTCCGTCTCCCTGCGCCTGCCACGAAAATCGCACTTCCATACCTCAAAACCCGCACAAAGTACTGCGCCTGCCACGAAAAGTGACAATATCATCTCACGTGAGCTTCAACAAAAGCCGCACCACACCACACGTTTGGAATGATTTCGACCCGTTCTGAGCACACTCCCATCCACCAAAATCCCCATTTCAGCTGAGACTTGTCACGAAAACAGAGCTTTGATGCCACACCCTGAAACGCAAATCCCAATGGAACGGCAACATCCAACACCCCAAAAACACGACTCTCCAAACGCTAATCCCAATGGAACTGCGCAGCAAACTGCGGATCTCACAAAACCCTGCGCCTGCGCAGTGAAATCATCCAGCACACTTCAACATCTCACATTTCCACACGATTCCTCGCTATATTTCACACGAATCTGACACGTCACGTTTTCACCCAAAACACTCTCCAAAAGCTTCCCCCAATGGCAGCGCCTTAGCGCTCTACTGCGAACGGTTGCGGACGGTTTCACAAAGAGCTGCGCCTGTCACTTCGAACCGCCTTGGCAGGGCTGCCATGTGAATTTTGATGTGCTGGTTTCATGGCAGCCGCAGCACTTTGAACACTTTCAGTTGCAGATTGTGAAATGCATGTCGTGGCAGGGGCAGCACTTTGTGAACCTCGAAGCGCAGATTTTGTGGCAGGCGCGGTGCTGGGTGAACCTCGAAGTGCAGATTTCGTGGCAGGCGCAGCGATTTTGAACCTCGAAGTGCAGGCGCAACATTTCTGTGGATCTCAAGACCTTTGAAAAGAGCTCAGATCTCTGTCCCTGGATCTGAAGACCTCTGGACATCATCTCGGCCTTTACATCTTTCTAGACCCTCTACAAGTCTAGACCTCTCATATTTAGATTTCACAACGTGCATATATCTCAAGACTCAAGACCTCTAAACCTCTGCAAGATCTATGGGAATCTAGACCCCTACACATCTAGATCTGTCTGCTTGGAAAACTCACCAAGAAGGTCATCAATAGTCCAATTCTCGGTGTAGAAGTGGCTAGAGATACCACTGAATAGGAACCGAGCGCGCAAAGCATGCCTCAAATCCACAGCTAAGGCAGCAAGTCGTCGCTTCCAGTACGTATACACTGCTACTTTAAAAAGGTCACAGCTGAGACAATCATCATGGCAAGTTGCCTGTCTTTGAGCAAATAATTGCCTATGTGGCCATTGGGACCTGCAATGGAGGGCTGGCTTGTGTTGCAGCATTGCAAGATTGCCCTGCAAAACTGCAGGGTATGACCTTTTGAGCAGGTCAGGAACCTCTCCAGGTTACAAAGCCAAGCCAAGACACGTTCATCCTTAGTGCAAGGTTGTGCTGGCCAACCGCTTCGTTGGCCAAACCGAGAAGCCGGTTCCAAGGATCTGGGACCGGAGATCGTCCCAGTGCTTGCAGTGCCATGCCAGGTGAATGCAGGTAGGAACACACTTTTCATGACAACAAGGACAATTCTGAGGAACATCTTCCTTCTTCATCCTTTGGAGACACGCTGGACTCACCGAAGAGCCACACAAAATTGCGAAGATCCCAGATGGCTGAGGCAGCAAATTGTTGGTTTCTTTTGCCATGGCCTGGTTGAAGTGGCACTGGTCCTTTCTCTTTCCTTCATCCACTGCAAATTCAATGGCAACACTTCCTCCAGTTGACTCATGTCTGCTCCAGCAGCAACAGTGGGAGCACCTTTCTTGTGCATGGAAAATGGATAGATTCCAGTGCCACGCCGATTCAAAGGATGGACCAGGAAAAGGTCCGGTGTGCACACCACCCTGTAGGCTAGCCCATTGTCTAGCAAGACCATTTCAATCTCTTGCCTCTGGGCCATCACCCCCACTGACTCCAAATTGTCATTGACATTCTTGCAAATCTCAGCGCAACAGCAGCCATGACAGAGACCACACTGCATCCTGCAGACCATGATGTCCAATGACAAATTGCCAGAAATCACAAGGTAGGGACGTTTTAGGTGTCCTCGACCTTCGTCCCCGTGAATGTAATGGGTGATACAACGCTCTATGTCAAAGGAGGGTGGAGATAGGATGGGCGGGGTGGATGCGCTGGTACTTCTTCCAGAAGCCAGCGGCAGTTGGTTGCCACCCACCAGAGACATCATGCCCTGCCAGAAGAAGTTGCAGAAACCAGATGTCCAGGCCTTTGGATCTTTGTAGATGCAGACCTCTCCACTTCTCACCCGTGATCTCCTGAATCTCCAGACCTGTAGATCTCACAAAACGTCTGCTAAGTTGGAATGGCACCGTACTCCTCTAAAGTTTACCCTCAATTGGCTGACAAAAGGTCTGCTACCTGGAATGGCTCCTTCCTCCTCTAGATTTTATCCCCGCATGGCTCACAAAAGGTCTATGCTCCTCTAAATATTCCTCACAAAAGGTCTGCTGCCTTGGCGTAGCACCTTCCTCCCCTATGTTTTTTCCCCGGGTGGCTCGCAAAAGGTCTGCTACGTTGGAATAGGACCTTCCTTCTCCAAATTCTACCCAGGGGTTGCTCACAAAACAAAGGCCTGCTACGAAGGAATGGCTCCTTCCTCTTCTAAATGTTACCCTCTGGTAACCAAAACCTCCCACCCACGCTGCCCAACCTCGTCAGATGTCATTTCTGCGATTCACAAAGAACGCCCACTGCCGAACGAACCCATCTCAAACCAGACCTCCTCACCCATCCCCATCCAAGCCGATCCAAACAAACAGCTCCCAACCAAACCAAACCCTTAAGCTGGATCCCTTTTGATCCAAATCAACCGCTCCCAAGCCCGCCCCTTCCCAACCTCCGTCTAAGCTGCCCCTTCGCCGCCCAACCAGCATCCAACCTTAGGCGCCCCAAAAACGGTTCCCACAAATATACCAGGACCCCCAATGGGTGGTTAATGGACATCCCGAATCACAGCTTTTCGGGTGCTATAAACAGACACCCCGACAGGAGGGTCCTTATTTTCGAACATTTACAAGCCCACCCTGCCAACACCCCCTGCCAACCCCTGCCAAGCGTCGCTTAGCTGCGACCAGTGAGCCCTTCAGCCGTTTGGGATCCCCAGAATCGATCGCCTCGCGCAGCTGACGCTTCGCCTGGCCCAAGTCGCTGCCGAGCGGGAGAGTTTGGGGTTGATATGCCCAGAACTCCGGACTGACATAATATGAATGTTATCAGAAGTTATGCTATAATGGTGCCTGGTTCTTCAAAGTGGCCTTTTGATATCCCAGTTTGAGGTCACTTGGGCCTGTAAAAGGTCACTTAGGCACTCCAAAGAGGTCACTTTGAAGAACCTGGTCTAAGATGGTTTAATATACATAATTAGGACATATTAGGACTTCAGTTTGTGATCGGAGTCTCTGTCCGTGACCTCTAAACAGGGACTAGTGACTAAGTCTGTGACCTCAGCCACTGGGATCTCAATATGCCCTAGAGGTTGACCACTGAAATGTCCAGCAGAAACGTCAGTGTCATCCTTTGAAACCTCCATGTTGGTACAAGTACTATGTCTTGATCACATGATTGCTCCTTTTGACAAACGTTTGGGAAGTGGGAACATGGAACATAGGCCACTGGCGGAGAACCACAACTGACGGATCCATGGGGTCTGAGTTCATCAGTGCCGACATGGCCTGGAGCGTATGTCTGCGGAACGCCTTCGATTAGGAGAGAAAAGGTCAAGGGCGAGAAAAGTACTTCCTTGAAGACTCTAAGACCCAAAGTCATCCAGGCATGTAATTGCAGCTAGGAATACTTGTATTCACTCTTCTTTTCCAGGCTGTCCAGCCTAGGGCCGCCTGGGAAGGGAGAGACAGACCTGGACCTGGCGCGCCTACGCCAACCACTTACCGAAACGGAGGTAGGACAAGGTAGGACTGGGAGCCCGGAGCGGCAGATGTCCTAGAATTCCCAGAGAGTCCATGGGACTGGTAGCCGATCAGGTCAGGTGGTTGCCCGGTCGGTCTGGACATAGTCCGGAGCGTCTGGGCTTGTGAATCCGAGATATGTCAGATATCATCCGGGAAGCCGATATAACCCATACACTTCATGGGACTGGAATATATGCCGCCTCATTGACCCCCCAAACCCACCACCCCTGGCCGTTGCTCGGCATATATTCCAGTCCCATGGAGGGTCTGGTTAATGGCTCAACGGTCACCGGACATGTCCCACGCGGAGAACGGACTCCCGGCCTGTTGTTGAGCGGCGCTGCGGATGATCGAAGGGGCCTGCGGACAGACCGGCAGAACGGCGGAGCGGAGGACCGAAACGGAGTCGGTGTGGTTTTCAGCTTCAAAATGACGATCCCGGCTGAGGTCACCTTGTTAAAGGCTTGTATACGACCTTTTTTAAGGCTTGTAGTACCTTGTAGTCACGGTTACAAAACTCTCCAGGATTGTCACGCAGTCTTCAGGCCCATGTCTTCCCAAAAAAAAACATGTCTCTCTTGAGGTCTCAACCAGAAACAAGGGACGGAACTCCCCAGTCCTAGCCACTTCCAATTCCAAGAACTGTTTCTGGTTGGGATGGGGGTTCCAGGCACAAATGTTTTGGATGTGTATGGACGTGTCCTTCATGTGTCCTTCATGTATCTTAGTGATCTAACATTTTTGTTCGCCAAAGCACTTCAAAAACAACCGTGCTGATGCTCAGCGGCACATACTCAACACAACAGCTGACCATGGTCAGCAACGACAAGAATGAATCAAGCCACTGCTGCTAACCCAACAGGTTTCATCCAGTATACATCATACCTCTATAGACATCTATAGACTCTAGTATGCGTAGTTTGTATAGGAACACAGGTTGCGGAAATCTTAAGAACACTCTTCCAACCACCGCCATGTTTACCCAGTTCTCATCGTCCCACAAAGCTCACACAGGGCCGTCCCGGCCTGTGGTCCCAACAAGTGGTGTGCCATGGCCTGAGCTCGTGGGCCCAGCCCCCAAAAAAGCAACGTGTTTGAGTGGGAGAATGTTGTGAAAACAATCCCAAACGCTGCATGTATCCCATATTCTGGGAATGTTTCCCTAGAAGGAACCTGGACAAAATAAAACACATTCCGCCAGGGGATTTAACCATGTAGAGAAAATAACATATCGTAAGCAAAACCAGGTTCCACTCACAGAGATCTGTGGGTCACTCTGAGAGGCCAGCTATATCCTCTTTGTTCTTTTCACGTCCTTTCTGGGAGCCTATAGGCTACCTACTTGGACGCCTTGCTGAGTAAAAACGATGTTTCTGTCAAACAACCATGCCTCGATGTAGCTGAAGTCCGATGGACATCGATGGAGCGTGAAGGAATGTGAAGGTGCATTGATTCACTGGTCGGGCGTCCGGTCACGTGTGCACGACCTGGGTGATGAAGGAAACATCAAACATGAGAACATGGGCTGCAAAAAGAAAAAACGACATGTATAATAAGTAACCTGACGATACCTGACGTGTATTCACATCCAACTATAATACATACGAGATCCAACGAGTACCCTCCAAAATCACTCAAAAGCAGAGCAAAACAGTCTCATCTCCCCGAAAACTGGGCAGAACCTCGCGGAATCTCTCATCCCGAGTCACATTGTCCAAGAGTTGGTTCACCATCTGGTTGTCGTGCCTGACGCCCGCCGGTCGACGACGGGTGCGGGTGCGGGACCATTATATGCGGAACGTTCTTCGTCCTGTTCATGTTTCGAAGACACGACGCAGGGGACTGCCATATACCCTAGGGATCCAAACACCTTCTCAGGTACGGTGATTGGAGACACTGTGATGTAGGTGTGGAGGGTCCAATTACAGTACCTTCTGAGGTGAAGGTACGACTGGATCCCTAGGGATATATATATATATATATCCCTAGCTCCATTGACCCCTCCACCACCAGCCCTCGATCGGGGAGTCAGGACTGCCAGTCCCATGTGCACCGCACACGCAAGACGACGGTGTCAGGGGTCGGGTCAAAACGGATCCCATACGGGGCAGGTCAGCGACTGGTGTAGTACCCTAGAAGTCGAAGCAACATGTGTTCAAACACCTTTACCAAACAACAATCCAAAAACCATGATCAACCATTGCTTTTGCCAGGGGACCTTTATAGATCTTTATAATTCAGCTTCTTCAATGTGATCTTTTGAAGGTTCCTAAGTGACCCAAACAGGAGGCTTAAGTGACCGAACCAACCAGGTTATCAAGTACGGTCACTTTGAAGAAATAGAAGGATACTAGTCGTTTTTAATTCGTGGGGTCCTTGGATCTACGACCTGGTCCGGGATTCCATGGGCTCAATTGGGCAAGAAAGGGGCACATGGTGGCACCCTGGCTCTCCAATCAATGTGAGTTTTCTCACCTCAGGGCACTCGTTTCAGTGGATTCACGTCTCCTGCAAATGTTGATCTTAAGATATCCCCTAGGGCTCCAGGTACCTTGTGAAAGGGTGTTTAGGGGCTGGTTTAGAGAGCCCAAATACCTTCCCAGGAGGTACGACTGGAGCCCTAGGGATTCTGGATGTTCAATGGAAACGGACATCATGACTCTACACATGTGATCCACTTGGATCCTAGTCGACCACATGCAAAACAGCTATGGCTATAGCCTATAGCTCTAATCCAATGAAACGGCAAAGACAACAACACCATTGCATGTGGGTCATGCTACTAGCATTGTTGCAACCATCTGGACCCTCCAGCAGCTGTTTGCCAGGTGCCCCAAAACCAGCTGTTGAAAATTCTAAAGCCATCTGTTCGGAAGGTGTTTTTGTTCGTTCCACATCCATCTCTCAGAATGTGGGAGGGTAGCTCACAAACTAGGCCAGCCGTGCGGCTGACCTGTCATCGAATCAAGCTCCAGCCTCGCAAGTGCCTCGTCCATCTGATTGGTCAAAAGGCTCTTGACCCTGGCGCCAAAAGGAGCGATGCAAGTAGAGTTGGGTGGAGTTGGTCTCTTGAACATGAGAAACCAAAACAGCCTTTCACGCATCACACAAAACCCAGCGCATCCCAGGCAAACCACGATGTCGCTGGGAGTCCCAGTGGTTGCCAGTTCGACAGGTCACCAGTTCGACTGGTTCCGAAGGACTCCCTGGTTCCTTACTACTCGTGGGAACTGCCTGCGGATGCACCGGGAAACATGCAAAGCCATACTCAGTGACACCGTGCATACACCGTGCATCATGCTTAAGGCTCCTTTTTCTTCCGATTGAAGCCATGGAGGGGGCGCCGCCAGAAAGCCCTAGCATGTCTCCAGGGATCCATTATACCTTGATTCATGAAAAGCCCATAGGGTCCAGGTACCTTCTTTTCGGATGGTCTTGCGGGGTCTTTCAGGACATCCGAATCGGATGGTCCTGGACCCTTAGGGAAGGTCGTTTGACCCGGAAATCCACCAAAAACACCTCAAACACCTAAAACAGTACTCAGCAGGGTTCGGTCCTAAGATGATCCAAGCTGCCGAGCGACCCATCTATGCCACATCTCACAAACACTCTATGCCACATTCTACCTACACTTGGCTGGTTTCAGGGACCCATAATATATTGCATATGTCCATATAAATAAATACATACCATACCATCTCATACATGCATGCATGCTCTTTCTTTTGGGCTTGGATGCCCCTAGAGCGCGCATCGTGCACCGACCGTGACCGAAAAAATGTCTCCCAGTTCGCCTCGAGGGCGACTCCGCCAAGGTCATGACGCCCTCCATGGCTTTGCTGGACACGTCATCCTGGAGTCTGGAGACGGTCATCCCGCTGGCCGCCTGACTCTGCGCCAGCCCACAACATACAAAAGCTATATACCAGCACCACCCAGTTCGGGTGGTTTATAGACCCCCCTGAAGAGGTATTTTCCATCTAATAACCACCCGAAGTGGGTGCTGCTGCTAGGTTCCGGTTCCCTAGACGGTCCTTTGACCTCATTCTACGAAGAGTTTCGGCGAGTCGACGAAGAGTAGGACAAACAGAGCCATCGGGACGGGGGTTTGAACAGCTCCGTGGGACGCGGAGCTGTGGTGGTGATTCTATGGTCTGAATCCCCAATTCAAGCGTTGTTTGACTGAGGACTTGTACAGTAACCCCACCAGGTAGTTCCCATTCTTTTCAAGTGGTCGAAGTGAAGGCAAATTGGAGATTGTTTTCCTTTTGCCCACCTGGTGTTGAAACCCGTGAGGCTTCTGTGGGCTGCTCAAGCTGCTTCCCTCTCACCAAACATGTGGGTCATGGTTTCTGTTTCATGTGCTGCAAACATTTGGACCTCACGTTCGACCCCACTTCCTACCCAAAGACGAAGATGGGACATGACCCGAAGAAATTTTGGTTTGCGACTTAAAACCCATTTTCCCATGCTCCCGGTAATACCTTGTACCGTCCTGTACCCTACCAGTTACGAGACATGTTAACACTACGCCCCGCCGACGCGAACCCGACCTTCGACCGAAGAAAACTCGACCCAGAATCGGTCCGTGAACTCTTCAATGCCTGTTCGCATGGCATCCACACCCAGCTGCCTGAAAACGGAGTGGTGCCATGTCTGCCATGTCCAATGTCCTTTACTTGGGTTTTGCTGTCCAACCTGGGAACAAATCCTGCATCATGAGAGGAGGATTCATCTATAATTAGGAAAACTAAAAACATCGCCTTACGATAAGCAAATCAAGGTTTACCAAGGCCGCTGCTTGGCCATCGATGATTTGGTCAATTGATGCCATCATGATCTCCACGTCCGGTGTTGAGTGCTACAAGGAGATGCGCAAAGAAAGGCAACGATGCAAAGGTATATGTATACACGTCATTTAGATAGTGCATTTCCATCCAATGGGTCCAGCTCCTGAGAGGGTGGTTGGGGTAGTTTTGTTCGGGTCTAACTGCTTTCTGAGGGGTTGGAGTCCTAGGGCTGAATCAAGCTCAAAAGAATGGCACTACCAAAAGCGCTCCCCAGGTGGTCTCGGGGCCCAGGGCTTGCTATGAGCTTGCTTTCCCACCCTAAGCACCGATTCAAACCATGAGGTAGTCAAAGCCCTAAGGATTGAACCCATGAAAATGATCCATCAAAGCAAATAAAACACTCCCAAAATTCTAACATGGACCCTGAGAATGGGACCCGGAAAGATTGACGGTTTTCCTCTACAAACCAGTGGTTTTCAGGGTCCTCTGGAGTGTCTGGGCGCTCCATTGTTGGTGGGGGGGCCTTTGGAGACCCCTCTGCTGGGCCACTGCTCGTGCTCGGTCATTTTGGTCGCACCCCCAACTCTATGACCTCATGCCCTAAGGATCCACCGAAGCGATTCGGGGAGTTTCAGGGGTGGGTGGGGTGTTTGGAAAGGGGGTCAAAAAGGTACAGCACTGGTTCAACAGATCTACGGATCCATCCTCTTTTCGAAGGTGATGAATTCGACACTTTGATGTAGCCGCCAGCGTTAGGTCTAGCCGTACCTTCTGAGAAGGATCCGTGGATCCTATATAGGGATCAGTTCTTTTGCTTTTCCACCAACAATGAGACACATTTTGCTGGAACCTTTACTTGGATTTGCTGTCCAGGAACCGGGAAAACATCCAGCAATCACTCGATCTCTCAGCAAAACCCCAGTTTTTCCATGTTCCATGTGGATTCTATGGGAGGTTCTTCCCCGGCACCGACACCCCTTGGCGGTCCAAGTGGCAAGTCCTTCCTGAGGCCGGCGCTGACGTCGATGATGTTGAATGGTTGAGTGGTATGTGAGCTTTTAGCACCAATGGAACATAGCTGGCATGTCCAACACATACACGAAAACATGGGAACCCGAGAACCGGATGACTTTGTAAAAAGAATTATCCGGGCAAGAGACCCCAAACAGTGTGTGTGTGTGTGAGGTCTAGAGGTGAAGATCGTGGTGATGGTGGCGGTGGTGGTGAGTGAGAGTGAGAGTGAGAGTGAGAGTGAGAGAGTGAGAGAGTGAGAGTGAGCATCTGAGAGCACATCTGAGAGCACGCGTCAGATAGCACGGAATGCGATCTACAGTAGAGGTCTTGAGATCGAGAGCGTCGAGGTGCACAAAGTGCTGCACCTGCCATGAAATCTGCACTTCGAGGTTCAACAGTGGGGATATCAACATCTTGCTTCAACACATACACCATGCCCGAAGCCAACACAAGGAAGGCATGAGGAACGTTAATGGCATTCCCAACCTGTTTGAACGCAAGGGTCACTTCGTGCCTCTCGATCCCCACCGTCTCGGTGGCACCAAAGAGGGTCAAATCCGACGCCGTCATCATGCCAAAGCGATGCATAGATGCCTTCACTGCTCAGGGTTCGCATAGCCAACACCTGGTCGATGGTGCTTGATGCCGCGAGGCCAGCCTGTTTGGCTTTGGAGAGCATTCGAATGTCACCGTAAAGTGGTTCTTTCTGATGCAGACAGCGTCAGCTGCTCGAAGTTCAGCATCCATGAAGCCACTGTCTGTAAATCCAAGAAGGACGGAACGGGGCGCTTTGCATCGAACAAGTCCAACCTGACCCAAGTACCTAACCACCTCGTGCGGACTGTGTGGGTGTGGACCATGGTATCGGACAACACTGGACCAAAGGCGTCGAAGTCTAAGCCTAAAAAGATCTAAAAAGTAACTCATTGAGGTCAGTGAGAACTTTAAAAACTTTAAAATGCGGATGGTCTTCCAATTCGGCGGCACACTCGAAGGCCAGCAAAATCGGGAATGCGGTGCCGCACATCATGATGGCATCCACAAAGGCGTACCCGGCGTACCCGAATGAAAGGCCACGCTGGGACAGCTACTCCGAGGTGGTGGCTCAAGCTTGAGCGATCCGCCTCGCTGAACCAGAGTTGGGAGAAAGCATGCCGCAAGCGAAAGCAACACCAACCATCCACTCATGGTGTTGAAGCACCGCCATTTCCTTGCAGAACCCAAAGCAGAAAATCAAGCATGGTACCTTGGCGAGACGGAAAGACCAGCTTCAGCTTGAGCAGCTAAATCGGCTTTTCCTGTTCGATCACTCGTGAGAAAACCCATCCATTCCCCCCAAAGGTGGTTCCCCACTTTTCCTGGTTAGGCCCAGAAACCGCGCCCCATTTTTCTGCATCCCAAGTCTCGCTCCTTTACTTGCACCGCTGCGCCTCGGATGCTAACAGAATCCAAAATACCTCCCAACTTGGAGAGATCCCACAGAATGCTATGGTGGATAATACCCGATGGCTCCCACTACAGTACCTCCCCTGAGGAGATGGTTAGGGTGGGTGCCAGGAGGGTCTAACCACCTTCTGAGGATTTCGATGGAGCCCTAGGGATATATATAATAGTCAAATTTGTGCTTAGTAAGTGCCTTCAACCAAAGCATGAAAGCGTGGAAAAAACATCACTGACATTTGGTGGGAAATCGGGCATCCCAAAACGCAAGCAAAGTGACTGATGGAATCAGGATCATGGAAAGATTCTGCATGCCAGCTTCTTAATATCTTGATAAAAATCTGAGCCAAGTGGTAGGTAGGGTTTCCAAACAAAATAGTTCTAACATGTTCCAACCAAAGCCTCACTGAGCAACACCATCCATTGCCAATAATATCCCCATCATGGCAGTTCTTTGCCAATCCCCAAGACAGCATGCCCAATGCAGTGAAGGAGCACATCCTTCCTTAGTTGGCAAAATGGCAACAATCCGTTGGAAGAGATTCTTAAAGAGCTGGGACACCTATATATAGCAACTTTGGGTCCAGGGTTGCCTCTACTAGGCAAAGACCGCGGCACAGACTCCGAAAAGAACAACACTGTCAGAGCATGTGGCAAGAGGTTGAGATCCCTCATATATCGCTTATACACCCATCGCTAAACCGAAAAGCAAGACCCTGAAAAATCCACTGCCACCTTCTCAGCACGACGGGGCCCTCGTTGCTATAAAGGTAGCGAACACATCATCATACCTCAAGGGACAGTGGATCCATGTTTGCTCGACTTATATGACCGCACAGCCACCTGTTGAGTGGATCGAAGGCCAGGATCACCAGCGACAAAGATGAAACCCCATCTTCGAATCAAACAGATGGCTCAGGATTAGACCCTTAGCTTGGATACTGTTGATATTTAGCACTCATTTTGGGGTAAGTATTGGAGGGTCATCCAGAGGTGTTTGTCTTGATATTTCTGGATCCGAGTCACCTGTTTTTTTCCCATAGACCCACGTGAATCGAATACTACGCTGTGTTAGGCAGAGCAGAGTAGCAAAGCATGCAGCCGTTGTTTCGAGTGTCTCCTTGCCGTCCTTTGCACGCAAAAACGTTTTCGTTTCTGTGTTCGACGTGATGGTCCCAAAGCCTACTTGTTTCGCGTCATGACTGTCCAAAACCCTACCATGTTTTTCCAGCCTTTGGTGGGGGGAAGACCACGTACACTCCCAGAAAAAATGATGGAAGTGGATGTTACATGATGTTACGGTCCCTGGAATAAAGATCATCTACTTCTACAAAACTGGAGAACTCCACTTCCATGTATACCTCCACTTCCAAGGTCATGTCTTTCAAAGCACGACTTCGATGCGTTTCCACCACCACTTCCACTCAGTAGACCGCTTCAAAAAACAACACTTCTAATTATTTAATCTGAGCGTCACGAGTCCTTCGATGGCTCGACTCACATAGCCAAACATGGCGAGCTCCCGGCGACAGCGTGGCAAGGTGAGACAGGACGAGGCGAGGCGGCTGACGAAGAGGATGGGACGAAGTTCGTGTTTCTTTTTCTGGTTGATGGAGTTCTGTTTGGAGTTGCTGTCCACAAAAACCAGGACCAACTAATTAATATATATATATATAAATACATGCAACGGGATGGACATAAGCAAAACCATATGTGTTTTTTCTTTTTTATCAGCTGGCAGGGTGATCACAGTTGGTGGTTTTATGTCGAAAGGCGCGACCTTGACAGTCATGCAACAGCTGTGGCCCTTGTGGTAGATCCTGGAAGCATAGACAGCATATGACAGCATGGACCCTATCAATCCCCGCTGCAGGGGCAAAAGCAGGACCCCGCCAAAAACGGTCAGTGAAAAAACAGGTTGGGTATGGTTGGGCTCTTCATCCGTAAGCGAGAAAAACACGATAGTTTTTTTGTTTGCTTTCCCAAAGCTTCATCCTCTACCTTGACTCGGCTGCACTCGTGCGACCCAATTCGAGTCTTGTTTCACAAAAATACATATGTTTAAAAACCCTTGTGCACCACCTCCTACTAGGACCAAAAGGTAGTGTAACTGCTTTTTAGACTTGCAGGATGTGTGTAAGGTTTGGGCAGCGGACGTTGTTGCAGCATAGCAAGTTCAAAGCTCTCTGTCAGGCTCACATGAGCAGACTGCAAGCCAATGCAAGCGTTTCATCGCACACCCTATCAAAGCTTCAACAGGATTGACTGGATGTGTCCGCTCACAAAAGCTCCATCTAATTCTCACGACATCCTGGCATCAGTGTGTCTATCAATATCATAGAGCTCAAAAGAACAATGGGATAGTTGCAAACATGGTGTTTTCGAATCATTTGAAACATGTACGACATGTCATTTCACCCGCAGATCGATGCCCAAACACATACAGAAACGAAGGAAACCCTTCGGTTTTCCGCACACCGACCTTAGACTGACCCTGGGACTGGAAGAGTTCTTGACCCCATGATGAACAGCATGACCAGTCCCAAATAACGTACATTCCAGTCCCAGGTGGATGGTTAGGTCAAACGGTCAAACCATGTATCGAAGAACGTGGTCAAACCGGCGGAACGCCACCGCCGAGCCCTCAGCCTCCACTTCTATAGGTGGAAGTGGTTGAAATCCCGTTCGGAACGTTGAACAGGACAGTTGGTCGTCCGTAACCATGCGATGTGTTTGCTTTCGATGACGCGTTACGTGGCCGGCCATGCCCCTGCCCCACATTCTCCGCCTCCGTAGCACCTGGCAGAGCTGTTGCGAAATCACCCACGTCAGCAGTAAGATGAACTCGTTTCCTCCTTTCCTCTTGGGTGGACGAGCTTTCGGGACTGATGGTTTTCCTTCTTCGGTTGCTAGAGAGAACCGGCAGGTGGCCACTCTTCCACGGTTGCAGGTTGCAGGTTTCAGCTGGAAAGGCCTATGCCTGAGACTCTCTATGTAAGGCCCATAGGGTCCAGGTACCTCCTGAGGATGGTCTTGGAGGTGAAAGTACTTCCGGAGAATGGTCTTGGGGGGTCAAAGGACATCCGATTCGGATGGTCCTGGACCCTTAGGGAGGTTCATGAGGCTTCAGGGCCACGTCAGAGATCGTCAGAGGAACAATGCTCAAGACTTCATGGACGAACTGGCAGCTCAAAGATTCTGACTGACTTAGCATGAGAGAGTGTGGGTATTTGAGGTGGGAATTGGTGCCTTGTTTTGTGAAAAGGAATCATGAGCCGCATGAGCCGCAGGAGTCGCCTTTTTGCCATGGAAAACTGGATGAGACTTCCAAAAGGTGTTCTATAAGCCTTAAGGCTCCACTACCACCCTCTTTTCGGTCCGGGCTTATGTGTTTCCTCCACTGAGACATGAGACGGTGCCATGGGTCGGGTCCCGTCGTACGAAAACGGATCCCCTAGGGCCCTAGGGTTCTGCATGAGACTTCCAAGAGATGTTTTATATAGGGTTCCAATCCGTGAAGAGGTGTTTTATGGCTGCCGCTCCTGCTGATGCACCCCCCAAAAAACGAAGAATCGAAACGAGAGCCGAAGACTTGAAGCAGTCGAAGTGAAATATGTTTTACGTCAAGGTACCAGCAGTCACAAGACAGGGTGCCCGACAGTCACATCCACGGCCCCTGGATGGGACGAGCCACACCACCCCGAGCTATGCGACTCCTGGTACTGGTGGTTTCATTGAAACAGAACGAAACTGGTCAACATCACCACCACCGCTGCCCCCGGACCCCAACCATGCTGATCTCCATCCCTGACTGTCTCGCGCCTTCCCCCCAAGCCCGCCCAACGACACATCGTGCAACTCCGTGGAACACGTGGAACCGCACTCCGCGCGCGGCGAACGGGCGAAGGCACCTTTTTGGTCGGCGTCTTGCCGCGAGGAGATGTCGGGAGAGGGATCCACTTGAAGCAATGCCAGGAGCGCATGGGGGCCCTTCAGTTCAAGAGGCGGTATGGTATATGGTGTATACTGTAGACTAGACTACATGCGTTTCTCCCAGGAACCAAAACATGAAGTCTGCAAACGAGCCATGCTTTGTGGTCTAATACCTACGAACACCCCCCAAAGTTAATTATACATAGCATTCTAGATAGACGCTTGAGAATGTTTCAGGTTCATGCCAGAAAAAAGAATTGGGCTGCTGCGCTCGTAAAAGCTTTGGTGGGAGCACACTTAACACCTCAAACGCATCTGCACCTGTCTTAATCGGCCATATTTTCTCCAAGAAAGGTGTTGTTCAGTGTCCAAATGGTTGGTTCCAAGGCCTACTAAGCAATCGACCTGCATATCGCTTCTCTTTGGCTTCTACGTGCCAAGTGGTCACAACGAAGGAGCATTTGGCCAAAGCCACATGGATCTGGGTGTCGCACTTCATTCGGCCGCACGGACGAAGAACAAACGCGTGTGACGAACAGCAAACCATTCCTGGCTCATGGCACCAGCGCATCTCGACTATAACTAGAGGGCTGTCACAGAAACCTTGTCAACTTGTCAACATATTCCAGGACCTTCAAAGTGACCGGGATGAGGTCACCGGGATGAGGTCACTTATAAAGGTCACTGGATGAGACTCCAAAGAGGTCACGAAATCTTCAGGTCCTGGATAGGCTTGGCTGGTGTGCTTGGTTTTGGCTCTGAGAGTGCAACTTCAGAGTTTGTGCGCACATACTTTCCACCTGATAGAGGTGGGTGAAAACCTGGTCAACATGCATGACTAGGCAAGATTCGGCCCTGATTGTTGATTCAGCCTTCTTCAAAACATGTCAATCTCCATCAGTTGGAAGAAGATGTGTATTCCAAACTAAGGATCCCTAGGCCCTGGGTAAATGTCACAACTAGATTAGTTAAACACAGTTGGAGGGTAATGCTTCCCCATCACTACCCCGTCTAGGTCATCCACCTATAGTATAAGACCAATTTGAGCTGACCAGTGGAGGATGTGTTGAGATTTGTGCGGCCGGTCCATCTTTTGGTGAGACCTGGAACACCCAGATTTCTGGCTGAAGCCCGTCAGGAAGGGCGCATGTCGGAGAAAAAGGATTGCACTTTTCTCCAAATCAACGTGGAATATCATGGAATATCATGGAATATAGGCCCCCCTCAAAGACCGACCGAGACCTATCTTCAACAAACAGGTGGTTTTCATTCCACCTCCATGTTCATCTCGGCCACCAGAACACGCGGTCGAGTCTCCGAATCGAAGACACCACACCGAACCATCCTCGGGTGGGCGGCTCCTCCCCCCACTGGCACCCAACCACCGAACCGAGTTTCGGAGGTAGCCCATAAGCCCCTAGGGGGCAATACAAAGCATCAAGAACCTGGCTTTCCCTAGCAAAAAACATGGCTGTTGTATGTGAAAACCTGTATGTTTCATTAGTTTTCATGGTTTTGAGGGCCACTGGCCAAAGGAGAAAATATGGGAAAACTCTTACGTCATGATCAAATCCTGGGAAACATGAGGTAGAACGAGCTGAAGGGTCCACGACCCGACTGGCAACAGGAACTGGCAAAGCATCTGGCACATCCCAAAGCTGTAAGTTGACAGTTGCGACATGCCGCCTTTCCAGCAAGAGAAATTTCAGACGCACACACTATATGTGCGGGCGAGGCAGGAGCATCTTGCAAGACCTTAGCAAGACACGGAATGATGGAATACCTTTCACAAAGGGACTATCTTCTAAGGACTTGCAACATCTTGCAATACTGTTGGTACTGAGACAATGTACAATGTAGGAACACCCTCAGGTTCACGACAAACACACCACCTGGTTCCAAATGAATCTTGATATACCGACGGGATTTTCTTGATGGATTTCAGGTGTCTTTCGGAAACTCTTGGAGTGTGCAAGGGTGGGTCCATCCCTACCATTGGCTGAAGAAAGATTGAAGCCCCTGTGACCGTCCACCTGTTGATTCGGCTAGGCGGTGGGTTTTGTCTCATAAATTACAGAAAATATATTCAACCACAATCACTGACTGCCCTTCCATGTGAGGGCTCGCACTCTCCTTTGGACCCTGGCGGTGTCAATCGTGATTTATTGGACGCCGAAGGCGTGACATATGGTACAGGCTGGAATGAAAGCCAACTGCTCAAAAACATTAGCGCCACCAAAGAGAGGCCTTCCGAACAAGCCAAAGCGCTCCACATGCTCAACGTGCCTCACCAAAGGCCTCGACTAAGAGAAAGTGCTCCCCCTTTGTAAAGTGTAGCCTCACCAAAGGCCTTGACAAAGAAGAAGCGCTCCGCATTCTCAAAGTGAAAACAAGGTAAACAAAGGCCTCGACAAAAAAGAAGCGCTCCGCATGCTCAAAGTGAAACCTTGCTATGCTATGCCA